GCGCCTCGCTCAGCCAGTGAGCGGGAACCGGTCTGTATGTGGGATCCGAACCCTCGGGCGGGAGCGCCGCCGCGCTTCCCAAGCGGCGCACTATCCAGTGCGCCACCGGGCCGGCCCTACAATCTTGTTTTTTCTATTGATATTTAAGAACACTGCTGTATCTTGTTTGTCCATGTATTTCTCCATAGAATCTGGGACTTAATGAAATTTTAATCCATTGAATTTTCCAGGTTTTCATGATCTTTCTATCCTCTTTTCCTGTCTTTTGACTGTTACCATTTGTTCATTGGGTATTTTGCATAATAGCACTGGCTTTTATGGATAGAAAATCTAAGTAGCATAAATTATGTCCTCTCTTTCTTTCCCATCTTGTTTGAGGTGGCCTTTATCTGATCTGAGCTATGGACACTTCTTCCTTTCATGTCTCTCTACCACCAGTGACCATGATTCCATGTCTTGGCCACTCTCAGTCATCCTCCTGCTTATCATTGTCCCCTGCCTAAAAGCTCTAAGGGCTTCTCACTGCATGTAGGGCAAAGATCATATTCTGTAACGGGTCAGACCAGTTCTTCATAGTCTGGCATTGAATAACCTCTAGTGTCACTACAGGATTACCTCTGCCTGTCACAAGTTTTATACTCCAGTTGTGTATTAAAAACAAACAAAATGTAATTTCCTGAAAATGCCACATTCTCTACCTTTGTACCTCCTCTGAAGGCATTTTACAGAGCAGGCAGAATTGGTTGTTCCTTATTTCCTCTAAGCTCCACAGCATTTTGATCATTCAGCACTTATAACATCTACCAAACTCTATTGTTAAAGTTTGTGTATCAGTCTCCCCAACTAGACTGAGCTTTCAAAGACCCTGACCTACGATTTCTCATATCCTTAAGGCCAAGCACAGTCCTTGGTACACGGTAGACAGTCTTGATAATCTTTAGAATGGAGCTACTCAATTTGTCTAGGATTATGAGAGCATAAACACAGTGATACAAATATTTAGATCTAAGATGTATATATATGTGCCTGATAGGCAAAGTAGTTTATTATGACATCTCACAAGGCATCTGTGAAGGTATTCCAGACAAAAGACAATTAAAAGTGACTTTCTGGAAAGTCAGATTCTTAAGGTACCACCGGGGATACATTTGGGATTACATAAAACTGCATCTATTTTTGAGTACTCCCCAGATTCACTATATGAACCTGTATGTTTGTAATTATTTGCTGAGTAGACATGTATTCTATTCCAGATAACATTTAGCATAGGCATTAAAAAAAGATTAGGGTGTGGAGAACCTTAATATAAATAAAATCTCAGAGTGCTAGTACTTTTTGAGGTGATGGTAGTCTTACACTGGTGTTCCTTTGTTCAGATGCATCATTACTGAGATGTTGATTAGCAATATAAGAAAATGTGAAGCATAATGAACTCAGAAAAATTTCTGAAGCCTGGATGAACATTTTTGAATGTGTATTTCAAGTTTAGAGATCCAAATTGACATAATCTTAGTATAACATTTTGTATGTGACTCTGAGCATTGCAGATAAAGGACCTTTCAGTTTTTGGTTTAAATACAGAAACTGTATGAGTTTAGTAATTCTCTTTTAATTTCAAAAGAAACTGTTGTTTTTATTTTTCAGTGTTGAAAATGAGCCCATGAGCACAAGTCACAAAAAGGAAAATGTACTCTCATCAGAAGCAGTAAAGGTATAGTTTTAAATTAATATTATTTTATATCAAGTAGATATTTTTGATTGCTGCTCATTCATCCTTTTAGATTCTGTTATCTTATTTTACATTTCAAAAAGAACACCA